AAAACAAAACTAAATATATGGGCACCAAATTTTTTACTCAGTTGCCAAATTTAATTAGAAATGAGCAAAATTACAATAAATTTAAAAAATTGCTGAAAGAATATCTTGTTAATAAAGCTCTCTATTCTTTTTCGGAGTTTCCTTAAGTGAGGGCTCCACTACTGGTTGCCTGGGTTTTATATATAGTTTTAAATATATTGTATTTTAGCTATATAGCATGAAAGTATGGGATTTTTAGTTATATGTGACTCTATTCTGATGCTGCAATGTATTCATACGAATAAAGTTTATTTTGACTTTGACTTTGACTTTGATCCTTGAAAAATCCGATTATTCGGATCGTTGACTATACGGATGGGGTCCAGTCCCAACATTTTGAGACACATTTTGAGTTCTACTGGACATATTTTATGTCTTGAGTTGGGATCACTAAAAGCAACTTACTCCAGCCTATAGAATGATAAAATGCTAATTTGTTTTTCAGGTCATAATGCAATATTTATGGTTGGGAAAGTCAGTCAAAGAAGCAGTGGATGCAAGCAGAGTCCATCATCAGCTGTATCCAATGCAGATTAGCTATGAATATGGAGTCATTGCTGTAAGTAACCTTGTTTTACTTAAGTAAAAAAGGTTTTCCTATACTTTTATACTTAAACCATATCCTATATACTCTATAACAAGCGTGTGTACAGACAAACTTTTATTTTCTTCCGAGGATTTTTTATTTTTTTGTTGAATATGGGGTCTTTGGCCGCGGGAAATTGATTGGAGTTGGTCACAATGCTGTGAAAAAATCCGGTTTTTATCCCACAGCCCTTGAAAGTGCCCATGTTATTGGCAACACCTTTTTGTAGCAGCAGTTAACAAAACAGCTGTTACAGGTTATTTAATTGTCATAATTTGATTTGACGTGAAACCAAAAATACTGCATTTGTTAGTTTGGACTTAACATTTTAAAATATAGTTGTAATTAGTTTTGTACATGTTAGCTGTAGGCTATTCTTCAAACCTAGAAATTCACCATGTATAAATGCGGATAAGAGATATTATTGAATAAGCATTTTGCAGCCACATTGCAAACGGACAATATTAGAAATTTGTAAATCCCGTGCTATCCTTGCTACACTTAATGCTGAAACTGGAAAGATAAAACAACAAAATTATCCAAATGCTACTGGGCAATGAGAAGGTTTGCAAAATTTTTGATTCAATAATTAATTAATTTAATAAATGTTTTATTGAATCCGAGCAAAACTCGGTCTTCCGGCACTGTTACCTAAAAAGGAGCTGCCAATACAGTAGCGGCACTGATTACAAGAAGTAAAAGAGCAGATTCGTGCGCTCTTTCACGTTGTAACACTTGTTTTTACTTTCCCGCACAAATTTTTACTTTGCGACACAAGTTTTCAATTTGCTTAAGTTATTGTTTTTACTTTGTGACACAAGATTTTGCTTTATCTACATATTTAGTGGTGTGACACTAGTTTTACTTTAATTCACTCAATTTACTTTTCCGCAATAGTTTCTATTTTGCTGCAATTGTTTTTACTTTCCCACACTTGAACAGGCGATATTGTATGAACAAGAAAGTAAGTTGCTGTCAATGCTTAGTTTACCAAATAAAAATGTTAACAGGTTTAATCAGTTTTCTTTTTGATCTGTAAGTAACAAGAGATAAAACACCTAAATCCGTACGTGTGCCTATTCTTATGTAATGTGTGACTCGGGCATAAAGTTTCTTTACTGCAGTAGATAAACAGAGTTTATTAATGAAATAATTTGCATTTTTCAGCCATTAATCAAGGGCCTACAAAAACTTGGTCACAAAACAATCCGATACAGGGACAGAGGCTCGATTGTTTGTGCTCTCGCCAAACAAGGCGAGCACATTTACGCCAACGCAGATTATCGTAAAGGCGGTGAAGTTTACGGAATAGACTGAAGAGGAGAAGACAAAAGTCCGAGTTAATTTACAAAAGCTCCTAGCAGGTTCTAGGAAGTCTGAGAACATTAACACTAGAAATTCTTAAATACTCAAATTTAGAGATAATTTCAGGTGATGTTCTTCACTATTAGTGTTTTAAAAACTGACAACTGACAAATTCATACAAAATTTGTTTTCTAAATAAGATTAATTAATTAAGTAAAACTAAAGTACTTTCCTAGTAGGAAAAAATTACCAGTTAGCAATTTTAAAATGTTTGAATCTGGCCCCAAATTTTTAAAATTATATTTTTATTTTCCTTAATAATAGTATCATCTTTCGTTTTCTCTAGTGTATGTTTCCTTATTCTTTAAATTTTAAACAAAACTCTTACTTTATTTTAGAGCTGTAAATTCTAGTTTTTAAGCAAATAAATAAATCATAAATTTGCTGTTTTGCAATAAAATAGTGATTTTTATAACTCAGTTTTGAAAATAAATTTTGCAGCACCTGGCTATTTTAAAAGTTGAAAAAACAACTCAGTGAGAGAAAATCTTTTATTGATTTTAAACTCATTTAGTTTAACAGCAGTATTAGTACTTTTAAGTGAACCTATGTGATTTTCCTAAAATTAGTGAAACTATTTTAAAAGTTGACATATCAGGAGTGTTTATGACATTGTTTTATAATAAAACTTTCATTAGTATATTTTACCTCGAATGTTTGCTTTCTTTAAATTTAATATTTTATTCAATCATAAGCTGGTAACTTATTTTTATTTTAATAATTTTAATTCAACACTCATTTTGCTCTCTTTTTAATCAAGTTATTGTACACAATTCGCAAAGCTTTCAAATGTGACTGTGATCTTAATAATACAGTAAAGTTTGCTCTATACACAAATTTTAAAGAGCCTCGATATAAATTTGATTGTATTAGTGCCTCTTGTTATAGTACTTAATGAATTGCTATTTTGATGCATTTAATATTGTTAATAAGTTTTATATGCCAAAGTCTACTGCTATCGGTTCAAATTGTTTTGTAAAATAGGTTGTTTCCATTAAAGAATTGTGATTTTACAAAATGTTTGAAAATTATTTTTACATCCTCTGTTGAAACTCAAAGGAGGGAAACATTACTTTATCCAATTCCTAGCTTCTTCAGAATCATTACTACAGTAGACTCCCTCTTATCCGGACTACATTCGGCGGAAATTACATCTCTTTAACCGGACTAGTTTGGCAGGAAGTGGGCGGTACTGAAGTTTGAGACCAGTGATCAGGTGTCTAAATACAATGCTCTCCTAAATCTCACTCAAATACGCATTTAAACGGTCTGTTTTAACGAGTTTTTGAGGACGCCGGTTTAACCAGAAAAACCGTTATCCGGACTGGCCAAGGTTTCGAGGAGTTTGGATAAGAGGGAGTCTACTGTATTCAAAACTTGAATTTTTTCTTGGGAGATTTGGAATTTTATCCTGAAGTAAATTAAAGCAGCTAGACTCAGCTAAATCACTTTCTAATGTGGGTAAAACGTAAAACATAACAAAATCTATACATAAAGCACCATTCACACGGGGCGAGTTTACAAGCACACACACACACGCCAGCGAGTGTGTTGGTATTCGTTCATACGATGCTTTTTCTACTCGCTCAGTAGCTGGCTTCTGACCATAACCACTGGGTGTGTTTTAATTGTGAAATCTTGCTGGTTGTGTTGTTGTTTGCTTACATTTAAAATGAAATGGTCTGTGGGAAATGTATCAGTGTTCCTAAACGAGTAGGTACCAAAAGCACCCAGCCTTGTGGAACATCAAAGAAAAAAAAAATGCAAATAAACCGTTGAGTGTTTTGAACAGCTGATTGGAGAAAAAAAAGAACATTGATGAAAAACAGCTGAAATCCAAAAAAAGTATTTTTTTATGCAACATAGTCCGTACGTCTTCCGTAACTGTCTCACCCACACTTTCCTCCTTTTCCGTTTCTCATCATGTCATATAATCCATTCATTTTAATTACTTTTGCTACTTACACTTAATAACTACTACTTCCCCTTGAACCTACTCTCCGACATCTTCGGATAACATGCGCACAAGCAACTGTGTTCACACTGGATTACTTACACGCTAGATCGCTCAAAAGCTAGCTAGTAGGTGTGTAAAGTAGCCGCTGTGTAAACTTTTTCCAGCGCCTTTTTAAAAGCAGCTTTTGAGTGAGTACGTCGTTCACGCTGAGCTATTTTTAGAGCTGCGTGTAAAAAAGCTGGCATGTAGCTTTTAAATTTACCTTGTGTGAATGGGGCTTATGAACTATTTATCTGTTGATCCAACAGAAACACTAGCTATTTCAGTTGTGTCGCAATACATCTACAGAGCAAGTTCTCAAACCCAATTCTTTTTAGCCCAAACAACAGTTGAACAGCTTGACCCGAAGATTGATTGCTACAATACATCCAAAATGTCAGCAAGTATTTTTACAGAAATTCCCAAAGACTTAGTATTCAAAAGTGTACCATATGACCAAGGTCTACCTTTGTAATAGGCTTTAAGCGATATAGACTTGCTCACTGCAACTCTATACTTTTCATTATTTTGAATCACTTTGATTTATATCTACCGTGTGTTATTGTAATCTTTTTCCAATTGATTCGTCACAGAAGATGCATAAGGGTAGAGAATATTGTGGAATTCCACATGAAATAACTGTTAGATCTAAAGAAATCAGCTACCTAATAAATCCATATACAGGTACGAGTTAGAGTAGGCCATGTTGTCAAAGTGGTATAATCAAAATATTAGAATGGTTATGTTAGTCTATGTGCATAAATCAGCAAATTCCTATTGTTGCTGGTTATATAGTTAAAAGTATTGTACACAACTCATTCGGCAAGATTTTTACGGTAAGAAATCCTGCACTTGGAAATCCTCCCACGTCAACTGTTGCTTGTCCTTTAAACACCTACACTTCCCAGCCTTGTAGCTTAATATACTAAAACAATAACAATACACTAAGTTGACTTCTGTATCCAAAACCAATAAGATAAAAGCATACAAAAGCTAATACATTTTACCAAAACACCTTGTATTCTGGGAATCTAAATCTAATCACATTGGGAGTTTTTACTTTTCTTTTCTTGCTTATCTTTGTTTTCGTAATCACATTGCGAGTTTTTACTTTCCTCTTCTTGCTTTTCTTTGTTTTCGTCAATCAAGTTGTTCAAGCAACAAAAGTCCTCTTTCTCTTTTTCCTCTGATTGTGAAACCTCTACGCCTTTAAGATCGTTCAGTTTCCCACAAACTTCCTTGAGACCGAACGAATCCTTCAGTTCAAACTTAAACTTCTCATGGCACTGTTGTTTGAAACGGTGTTCATCTTCTAAGTGAATGAGTATCTGTTTGCCTTGGCATTCTTTTGTCCCAAGTCCTCCGCAAGGAATCGTGCTAGGAGTTTTGTATTCTAACTTTTCTTCTGCTAGTTTTTCCTTACATTGTGGGAGTAAATAATCGTAATATTCCCACTCCCAAATCTTTGGTTTGCGCACTCTTTCTATATGACGATTTGTTAACTCTTCCGTTTGTTTTTTCCCCCAGAACTTGAGCCATCCTTTTTTCTCGTACTTGTGGCATTCCTGACAGGGCGATTCCCTCACTGACCACTGCCATTTTATGTCTTCGTCTCCGTGTTTATCTACAAAACATCTTCTCAACACCTGTTGAAACTCAATTATTAAACTATCTTTAGTTAAGATGTTATAGCTTGCAGTTAAATGCAACTGTTCCAACTACAGTATAAATTTGATATATTCTGTTTTTTTTTTTTAGGAAAATCAAGAAGTAGCAGATAAAAAAAAAATTAGAGATAGGGTTCCACTAGCTTAATTAAGAATATTTAAGTCCAGGGACTGTTAAACACACCATACTATGGGCCATTTATATTGTAGGTGATATCATAGACAAATAGAATGAATATAGACCGGCAGCAGTGCTGCGGTTAGCATATGTTCCGGCGCCCACCGCTAGGAGTGTCGTGTAGCAGCGTCTGCTGGTAGCATACGGCTCTTGCCTGCAGCGGTGTGCGCTGTAACTACACAGCACTCCTAGTGGTGGGCGCCGGAAGCTTCCTTTGACAGTCTATATTCATTCTATTTGTCTGTGGTGATATTTAGCCGCACTAACAAAAATACACCTAAAAAGACCTGAAAACATATAACTGAAATTTCGTTCTAATATATGACTTATTCAGAGACTAGATTGACGAGAATCTAATAGCTAAACTGTTATCCCTTTTACCCAAAATCCTACTTTATCATTTATTGGCCTACACTATAATTTTTTTAGTCAATAACTTATGATAAAGTGTTTCAACAATGAACACCATCAGGTTTCATCAGTCTGAATAAGGAACAATTCATAGTTTAGTGAAATTTAGAACCAAGACACATTATATACTTTTAATTTAGAGATCGGAAAGGTTTGCTTCCACTAAACATCAACGTTTACGTTGCAATGTACACAACCATTTGTGGCCTAGATAAATTAGAATGAGCTAAAGCAGTTTTTTCTTGAGTCCTTTGAATTATCTGGGAGTTATTCAATGGGAATTTCTTATGGTATTCTAGGTTCTTTTTTAATTTATGTAATATCAATTATTTTGGTTCTAGACACCCGCCCAAAAGCGCACAAGGCGCTTCTTAGGCAACAATGAATATTTTAAGAAAATTGTCGACCAAAAATTATGATTTTAAATATTGAATAACCATCTATGTATTTATAATTTGGACAAAAAGAGTTATTCTTTAGCAATCATTTTATTTTTTGTGTTACAATGCGATTTTACTGATTTTAGTGTTTTTTTTTTGTTTTTTTTTGTAAGAGAACAGTCCAAACCCTGATCTTGTTCAAACATAGTGTTGAACTTTTGTCAAGTATCATCATTAATGATTTGTTGCCTTGCGGAAAATATATCTACCATATTTAGTGAATACATACCTGAAAATTTTGTCTAGACAAACTTCTTAACAATTTTGAGCAATTACCTAAAGGGTTCATTTTTGTTTGAAATTAATTTTTGTTTACCATAGAAACAGTAAAATTCCAATGAACAAAGATATTTCAAGCAAAGCATGGCTAGTAATTCATCTACAAGTAAACGGATACGTAAAATATTTTTTGAACTCTTTCAAAAAATCATGGAACCTAACCAAAAATGATAACAAATAGAAATAATTTGTATCTGACATGTGTGGCAATTTGGTAGTCGAGGCTAGAAATCCTCTCCTTGAGCTTTGCTTTAAGTTCAAAAATGTAGTTAGTGTAGTAGAGAATAAGAGGCAGAAGGTAGAGAGAGATGGAGAGCAGTTGTTGGTGTGGCCAAATGCCGCATTGGGCATAAATGGAGTGAGTGAGTGTGTTAGTGTAGTGGACCCTTAGGTCTGGTCTGGCATTAGAGTAGATCGCACTATCCCCAGATTGTCGTAAGAGGCGACTTAAAGGAGGAAAAAAAGAATGTAGTTGTGTGAGCCAGGCACAGATTGCGCTAGTGTCTAAAACTCTATTTTGTACCTTATTTTTCGTTACTGACATAGTTGCTGGGTCACAACAGTTGCTATAGTTCATAATAAGTCATTCCATCAGCTTGGTAAAAACCATCATGTAATCGGCAGAAATCAGTAATTTAGATCAGCGCAATCTGTAGGTGGCTCACATCAACTAAGACAAATTTTATTGAAAACCTGGCTACAACTTTATCATGGGGATGGAATGTCTAGTTGTTGTATTATATGTTGACGGAAAGCGGCTGGCTGAAGGGTCGACCCTACTCACACACACGCAGGCCTCACACACACAGACCCAAGGGATTAGGACGGACCATTGACCTGCCACGTGAGTCATCGCTGGCTCACGGAAATTTAACTAAATTTTTTTAAATTTTACCTTTGTTATAAAATCTGGTAATGCTTTTGACTTCAGCTCAAAATGCTTAGTAAAATGATACCAAACAATATATATTTTGCTTACAAAGTCTAAAAGTTACGGGTATTTTGACATATTTTTATTAGCTAGCTTCTTGTCATAATCATTTCGTGTTTGGACTCATTGTTCATGGTATTAAACAACAAATTTATTAACACTAAGCATTTTACTGTATATCTAACTTCTAATGAATTGCGATTTTGAGGTATCATACAACAGATGTTATACTTCTACGTAGTGAATAGGGGATCGGGGCTTTCAGGCAATTAGGACGGTGGTGAGTGTGCGTGCGTGAGTCGGGTCCCTCGCAGGTAGGGTAGAGCTCCAGCCGCTTTCCCATAAAAATCAGACTATAATAGGCAAAGGTACAGCTTAAAAACTGGGTTTTTGCACATCCCAGGCTGCCAGACAGTACAGGCCTAGCAAAAATCTCCTTGATTGTAGTAATGCCGTATCGCAACCGCATAGGGCCCTGCTGCGGTCTTGGGGGCGATTGGCCTTAGCCTTCGGTAGAAAATAGAAGGAAAGTCCTAATGGCATAGTTAAAAAGGGCTAGCTCGAAGTAATGTGCTCTTACACACTAGTTCCAGGCTAGTGTTCTTGGAGATGGAGGAGTTTTCTTAGTCGGGGGACATTGAGCCTGCGGAAGTCCCGTAGTACTGAGAGGACATTTGAGTCTCTCAGTGTGCGTAAATGCGTTTTAACCTCCTCTCAAAAATAATAAAAATATCTGATCACTGCCCGATAAGTCCGAGATATATAACAGGCTTTGGCTCAAGGACAGGTTATGTCATGCACCTGTATTATTCTAAGAACAGTTGCTATTGTATTGTTTTAATCAGGAATATAGAATAACAGTGAAAGGAATGAAATGTTTAATATTACTTGAATATAATCCTAAACATTTAGGCCTACATATAATCAATATATGTAACTATTTATCCTCTATGGTATAAAAGTGAAATCACATAATATCACAGTATTTATAACTGACATACATCGTCATACTATAAAAACTACCTTTTTATTCAGTAACTGTGATGTGTTATAAATGAAAAGTGTTAATATTTTAATTTTTTATTAATTTTATTATATTTTTCCATGTAACACTTGAAGCTATTTTGTCGGTCTATTAAAAAATTATAAGAAGTTTACTGTAAACCGGATCTATGATGGAAATCTCAATAAATATAAAATTAATCTTAAATGAGGATGTAACGGTGCAATCTGCCTACGGTCATTGATTTATTAGTCGAAACTAGATGGTACAAATTATAACACTAAAACTTGTTTCAACACAAAACTTATTGGCTATAAACATATTTTTTTGTTATCAATAAATGCAAAAAATAATACAAACTTATCTATTCAACGAGAATAGTTTGAAAAACTCATATTGTGAACTGAAACCAACTTATTCAAACTTATTTATTGAAACAGCAACTATATTGTGTGAATCTTGTACAGTAAATAAAATAACTTGTTAACATGAATAATTAATTAACAGAAATTAACACTAACTAAGAGATAGTCATTCTCAAGGTTGCCTGCCATCTTTGGTTTGGGGAAATCGGGACGGGATTAACATAGACAACACGGGAAAAAGGTACCGAAGTTGGAACTGTCCCGACAGATTTGGGACGGGTGGCAACCCTGGTCATCAAACTATAATAAATATTTGATTTTTTGAAAATCACTAAACTACAATAGTAACAGTAACGAACAATGACATGATTTTGCACGTCTAAATAGGTAAAGTCTAACAGTCTTGCAATGTACAGAAATACTAACATAAAATATCAACTCGCAAGAATTGTACGCAACAGAAAATTGACTGTGGAAATCAAAGTGATTGGAAAGTGGGAGCAAAGAAATTACTCCTAGTTTCAAGCCATAATATCTCGCTTCAGGAATTCTTCCACGATCAAATGATCTTTGGGATACTTTTCCCGAGTTTCTTTGTTCATGGAATAGTAATCGTCGCAGAATTCCTCGAAATACCTTCCGATTTGGTAATGGTCGACCCATTTACGATGGGGATCGGTCTCTACTTGCAGATTTTCTGTAAAAAGACACAAACAGAATCACATTTTTGCATAAAAACACTAGTTTTAAGACTATTTATATAACTAGGCATTCCATCTCCATGTTTAAGATTTGTCAGTTTTTTAATCAATTTGGACACAGTTGAATTATAAGTCACAACATAGTTTATGAATTTAAATAATCTAAGTAACCATAAATTAAGAGAAAACAGAATTTTAAGACTGTATCACATTTTTGTGACTGGCTCATTTATCTATCCATCTTCTCTTTTTACAACAAATTCAAATTGTCTACAGATGGTCCTTATAGAACACCTAAAAGTCGACAATGCTATTGATAATCAATCTTAAAATCAGACACAAGATAAAGATGACTAGAAGAATTAATAAATCGCACAGTAAACAAGTTATTATCACCTTTATTTTTGTAACCTTAACCAGACAAATAAAAAAGTTTTGTGTTTAGGTTTTGAGGTTCGGGATTAAATTTTTCAAGTTTTGATTTCGGTTTTGAGGTGGATTTGACCATCACTACTACTGACCTTCTGCGGTGTACCGGAAGCTACCATCGTAGACCAAGACGTGATAGAATGGTTGCGTTTCTTTCCTCTCTAATCCAGCAACATGCATTTGTCTCATCCACTCCTGACTTTCCTTACAGACACTGTCCCAACCAAAGATCACACAGGTGTAGTAGTATCTATTGAGAAAAATGACAGATTAATTTACTATGACAAGTTTAGATTTTTTTCCACTTGGCTTAATATGTTAGGGAAGAAGAAATGTACACACAGCCAACTTACCTTAGAAAAGAGTTAAATACCTTTTATGACGCATGATCATGCCTACTGCAAACCGCACAGACAATCCATCTTCTACCGTTCTTCGATTGTAAGTCACTTCCTGGAAAAATACAATTTTGCAGGATTACCAAAACAAAAATTAAGGGTGTGCGAGGCTAAAATTTTCATTATGGCCGAGCCCGTAGACGAGGTTTTTTATATCATGAATTTTAATGCCAACATGTTTTTATACCTCTACAATGTCTAAAGTAAGTTAATGTTAACAATTTATCTAAACTTACCTAATTATTTCAACAAGTTTAAACTACCATAAGTTTAAAGCATGTCGTATATGGTTGACAGTAAAATGCAGTAGGGACTTGAGCATCTAATAATTAATTTGTTGTGATTTGTCCTTTACGATGCTTTTACATCATCCTCCCCCACGATTGCGGCAAAACCCTGAACATCTACTGCAGTCCTGTGGACATTATAACACTATAATTGTCTTCTTCGACCCCCGTAAAATTTTGTACATCTCCCTCATTTGAGTAGACATCATCATCATCATTGTTTCACACCATCATGGACACGTTACCATATTGAGCACTGACGTCAGCAAAATACTGAATATCTCCAGTGGCAACGGAAACAACATCATTGTCACCCGTGAACCCGGAAAAATTCTGGACATCTACAGTCGAGTTGATGTTTCATCGACTACTGCAAACTCAGAAAAATTCCGGAAACATCATTATTGTCTCCCGAAATCAAGGCAAAGTCCTGGACCCTTCCCACATTCTCTATCATTCCAAGGACAAATGTTGAATTAAAGAGATTAAATAGTATTTGACTAAAATAAGCCATGATTATTAAATAACTATCGAGGACAAATCCAATTGAACCATCAAAAACCTAGCCTTTTACTTTTCTCTTGATCGAACCGACAATCTTCAAAGTACTTGTCTGCAACTCTCTCGTATACATTCCACACTTCATATATTCACTCTCTTGAAGTTTTTTTATGTATAAAATGTGCATAGCTACTTAACTACAGGTATAAGTGTTATCACAAGATCTGCAAGGTTTTTATTTACGATGGTGTAAAAAAGCTCACCCTTTCCTTTGCTTTGGCACTGTTTTGCTCATGACAAACTATAAAATTATATTCACTCAGCAGTCTGTCAAAGTGGGACACCTGCCCCAAGTCTCTGAGATCGAGCTGAAAACATAAAAAATGAGAAATTAATTAATTTATGAATGAAAAAAAAGTTATTTACATGGCAAACACATTAATCAGACACTGTTAAGGCAGCATTTAGTCCCATTATCAAAGCAATAATGCTGCAACCCATTAGCCCTTGCCTGAAGTTAAGTGTAAAACCGATCCGGGCTGGAGCCTTATGTCCTAGAATGTGAAAGTGAACATTAAAAAAAGGCGCCTTTAGAACAGATAATCAAGATTCTACCATACAAACAACAAACTTGCCATATACTAGTTAATAATGTTAATACTGTTCAATGAAATGGCGACCATACATAGTAGGTATTTTAAGCCAAGTATGAATGGAGATGAGTGTGGAATGAGTGGCGTGATCTTGTAGTCTTGTTAGTGACTAAGGCCGACATTCCTTAGACACAGCTGTTAATTAATAGCCCAAACAGCTAATGGCAACTAAGAGACCTACAGTTTATAGTGGAATCTGAACCACAATTTTCCTTGGTATATACGAATTGGTCTAATTATCAGGATAGTACTGCGGATAGTCATAGTACTCACTCGTGCAGACGTTAATCCACACGAGGGAGTATCGCATCCACAGTACATGCCTATAAATATCCACAATTCGTGACCTCCTAGTAGCTGGATTACAGGACGACGCCACCCGTCCCAGTCAAAACTTCTAGGTGTCACTTGAGAAAGTACAGAGGAGAAAAACCGATCTGTTCAACATTTCGGGAGTAACGTCAACAATTACTCACATTTGTCAGATTGCGCAATGAATGCACAACTTCTAACACATCCATGTTTCTGTCCATGTAGAACCGGCCGAGATGCATTATACAGCTGATATTGTCTGGACTGATGACGTGTCTTAGCTCTAATGCACTGCGTAGCCCTAACATTCGGCTGTCCATCACCGTCCTCTGACGTCCGGCGACTTCCAGGTTGGTGGCCATCCGTTCCATCACCTACAAAACACAAATACTGTAACAGGAGGGGTAAATATTCTGATGAGAAAGTGTTAGGCAAATTTGTTCGAGCAGGATGGAAATGTTTAAACAATAACTTGTTGTGCTGACCTACAGGAGGATGTGGTTTAAGTAGGCCAGTGCACTTGATCAACGAGCCTAAGGCATTGGGTCCAGGTAAAACAATCTTAAGGGTTTTTAAAATTTGGGATTTAGAGTCTTTTTCCAAATTGGGGTCACTGAGTTAAAACGTTCGCTTCAATGTGGCCACCGGTGGCGCACAAATAAAATTTCAGTCAAAAGTAAATTCGACTACAATTACCATAGACTAAAAAAAAACAAAAGTATGTATATAGGAATAATCTTACTAATTGAGCGGAGCGAAGCAAGCTCTTTGGGATCGACTTCAATGCAAAATTTCTAACGCATTACCTCAATAACGGCTGAACATATTTTAGCCAAACTTACCAAGGTTGTTTTGTAAAATGTTCGGAAGGTTTAGACAAAACCAATTTCAATTTTTGATAATGCCTATATAATTTAAAAGAAACTCAAAAGTTTTAAAATCATATGTTAAAATTAAGCCACAACCTAAACACAGTACAAAAGAAAAAAATTCGGATGATGACCGCTGATCAAGTAATACAGAGAAAGTCTTAAGTTTACATTTAAGTTGCAATTTGGAAACACCACTGATCGAATAGGTACAGTATTTAACAGATTTGATTAACATAGCTAAATAAGGTTATAACAAATAACAAATTGAGAATCAAAACAACTACATGATTCTGCAGTTTTAAATAACTAGGTATTTTCAAATCAATATTTTTATCTAAATAGGCTATTATGAACATTCTTTTTAATTATTTACAATGAAATATTTTTGATGAAATCATTGTGTTGGCAACACACTTGCTGTATTGATTGTTGTGTTGGCAACGACTTGAGTTATATCATTGCCCAAGAATGATAAAGTATTTTTTGCGTTTTCGTTTTACAAGAAAATACCTAATTCGCACAAGAGTGTGATATTAAGGAAAATTTCAGAATGCATTTTCAAAAACTCCGAAATTTGTGGAAAATTAAGACAAGCAATAAATGCCCGAAACGCACGAACAACTACTTCTGGAAATGTTTTGAGATAGTTGAATGTAGAACACTTGCTTGATAACAATTAATGCTTTTCATAATTAGGTTAAATGTACAAAATTTAATCAAACAAACCTCATAAGGTATAGTGACAACTATTTGTATAATTCTCTCAAAGCAAGCAAATCATTAAAAAGTAAAATCTACTAACCGTATGGATCCATGAAGGATTTTTTGCGTGTTGGTGACGAAATGATAACAAAATATAAGCTGAAAATTAGAAAAAAAATGCAAGAAATTCCAATCACATGTTTCATTTACAGCGTGGGGTGAAAATAGAGAAGTTTGCACAACACATACTTTTGGTTGAGTTTTCGAGGATAATTTTATCCAGTCCTATGCCAAATTTCAAAATCAGAACAAAATTATTTGAATTATGGTGTTTACGGACACATTATATACGTATAAATCTGAACAAAGAGTGTTATTACAGTAGAGTCCCGCAAACTTGGCGTAATGTGGACTGGAAGGGTGCCGAGTTTGTGAAATGCCGGGTTATCGGGAACTAGAGTTAAAAATAAGAGCAATACAGTTTTTAAGCTTTTTAACCATCTTTTTCAATTAGATTTATATTACAAGTCAGTATTAAGTCATCAGCTATAGTACAACAAATCCTTAGTACGAGTTGCAAATGATTGTACTTGAGCTGGCTTGTGTCCATGTTTATTTTCAACAAAACCATCACATTTATTTATTTTCAATAACCTTCCTCCTTCCTTAAAGACCGAACAGGATTTAAATAGATTTCAGAAAAAACTAAAGAATTTTTTGCTGGATAATGCCTTCTGCAGCGTTCGTGAATTTCTTTGCCCTAGAACTGGTGGGGTAAATATAGTAGCATAGTTGACAGTTTTAATTTATACAAGAGAGTTTTTTTGTTATGTAAATATTGTATTTTATTTTGTTTTGTTGACGTAGCTAATGCATTTTATGTTAATTTTGCTGAATAAACGACTTATGACTTATGACTTAACTCGGACTCAAAAAATCACAAATTTTCTGAGCCAGGTGATGGCCGAGTTATCCAGACTGCCGGGTTATCCAGTGCCGAGTTTGCGGGACTCTACTGTACCTCTTTTTTTTCCGGACGCTAGGCAAGAGATGTTTTTGTTGGATTGTTTTTCACATTACTTCAGGCTAGACCTAGGGGTTGCGGCATTATCACTTAGATAAAATCCATTGGTGACTTGGCGGGGATCAAACCCGGGACCTCAGGGACTGAAGTCCCGCGCTCTAACCACTACGCCAGCTCGCTCCCTGAGTGTTATTACCTCTGGGGAACACAAAAACGTAAAACAGTTGCGGGTCTAGATCATCCATGAGATCTATGATAAAAACTTATTCCTTAGATGGGAAATTCGACTGCAAATACTAAAAGTTATGTTAAGTTTCCTCACCTCCACAGCGGTGGCTGGCCCATAATTGGAGATGTCACCCATGGGACAGCGCCCGAGATTCATGAACCGAGGACAGCTATTTCTGCCGAGGAAGACTCCCCCGTTATATATGTCCAAATAGAATGTCTGGGCTTGGGAATCCCCTCTGAAACAACCAACAGCTTCCATTACTGTCTCTCCTGTATGGAAAAGTATCGTTTGTCAAAACCAAATGTTTTCTCTGACGACCATAATACCGTTTGTGATGGTATTTCCAGCATTCGCTGGCAATGTTAACTATTCTTGTTATGATTTGAGTATTTTCATACCTGAGGAAGAAATTAGATTCCAGATCCTTAAATGTGAAAACTTCTTTATTTTTACTAATCAATACCAATGGAAAATGTCACAATAATTGCTCAAATAATATCAACCATCGCCAAAAATTACTTTGAAATTGGTAAAAAAAAAATTAAAAATTTTTTAGACGTCCTGGCAAATTGTCTTTTGATTGCAATCAATGACTCAGTGACCAGTGGACATGCTGCAATATTGGGCGCACAGCTAACAATAATAAATGTAACAATAATAAATCGTAATTTGTCATTCGGATACATTAAAAATCATTGACAAAGTCGACATAAAAGTCAAAATACATGTTGAGATCCAGTCAAATTGTCAAATTACTAAAAATTCCGATATATCTAAACATTAATCAAAATCACTTTAAAACTTAAATAAAAAAATGTATAAAAAAAACACAAACTATCTGAATGTGTATCTGTGCTAATACTTTTTTAAATTTTAAAAGTAATATGTAAACAAATTTAATTTGTAAAAAAATGAGTTTGTAATTTGTGTAGATAAACAAATTAAGAAATTCACTAGTTAATCACCCGTGCTGCGCCACGGTAATATTGTCAGCAATCAGAGACATAATAATTAACAAATACTGTTTATCTTTGTATTTTATTGTATTTATTATATTTATTGTATTTTATTAGGGGCTGCTTAGTTTTTAACATAAAATAGAACTGATAATTGGCCTGTATAAACAATTTTAAGTTAATCAAACCGATATATTAGTTTATTTGAAAAATAAATAGTATACAAACTGTGCAATAATGATAACCTAATAATCTATGTATGTTTACCACTCATTAGCAATTATCTGTACAACTTGCAAGCGGATTTCCCTATGATTGTTCTGGTAGCTATAGAGAATAAATTATATTGATCAAAACAATTAGTTTCCGTCCCCTAATATGGGTTTTATTTCACATTCCATACTCAAACTTAAACTCAATTACAACTTTCCTTCATATCACTTCGCAGGAAAACTCAAACATTTCAAAAACGCAAAAAAATTTTCAAAAATACAAAATAACATAAAAGTAATGTTCAAATACATTTATAAATAATACATTGTGGTATAAAAAGTTAACAATACACTTTTCCTTGATCTAAATCGTGTGTTTATAAACAGGAACTCCTAGTAATTACATACTGAAAGTGAGGTTATAAAAATAATAACAAATGTCTGACAAACATTAAAGATGAATAATTTATAAACTGTGTATTATATTATTCAATAAGAATTTTATTGACTCGACCTTTGAAGGGCTGTAGGTCGTAGCTCCTAGAAAAAACGTAAATTCTAAGGAAGTTCGGCAAATCTACACACTATCCCCTTTAATTTGAGACATAAATCCTGTAGATCGGTCCAGTAATGACTGAGAAAATAGACTTAAAACTGTGTATTAAATATATAGATTAAGTACAAAATTTTAACAAAGGCTATCAGGCTATAAGAAAGGTTGTCTAATAGCCAATTTTAAAACAAGAACTTAGAGATTAGCTGTGAGCTGCGGGTAAGCATCAATATTGTGCTTTTAAGGTTGTAGGCTATTCTTCAATAGATGACATAACCTAGGTAGGCTCTTACCAGTCTACCGGTAGACAATGTGATTCTAACAAGGCATTATATTTAATTTGAGTATTGTGATTACTCGAGGATTTTTTAGATATAAAGGTAAGATTTAATTTATCACACTTTGAATCCTTATAAAGGAGACTTAAAACTTTCAATGCTCATTTGATTCTAATCCATTCATAGCTCTAAGGCTAAGGCCACACAGGCGTTTTTTCACGCAAGAAAGCAGCGTAAAAAAAAGCGAGAAATATGAGCAGCATTAAATGTAATGAGGTATGCCACACGGAGTGTGTTATCACGCAGATGCGCCGTGTCTTTAAAATCACCCGCCGCGGGCCCGCAGAAGAATGGACTGAGGTGCATTTTTGAAGCTTGTTTTCACGCTCTGTCCCTGGCCACACGGGCGGGAGCAACACGCAGCTTTGATCAAGTCGTTCTAGCAAGTTAAAATAAAGATAAATGTATCTAATTTTTTCCAGGATAGCGTAAAATATTTTTGGGGTAGCCAATTACACAGTAGGCCTACACGTTTTATCCTAAACATAGATCGACCTTGGCTTACTGGGCCACTTAATAATTTGTTACTAAAAATTTGTTAGGTAGGAGGAAAATTTAGTTGGACTAAAAATGTAAAGAGGCATTTATGTAGTAGAATATTCAAAGATCTGATGAAAATCTTGCCATAAAAAGATTTACATTTGTATTTATATTTTTTATATTAAATGTAAATAATTAAATGAAAGGTCAACAAAATAAAATAATTTTAGTGTTGTTTTCGTATTGTAATTAATATACCATTCATATTTCTTGTTCACTAGTCAGAAACAAGGTTACTATTCCAGCCATGAGAAAGATATACAACATAATTACATGAATTCGTCAATCAACTGCGGGTTCCCACGGCGTTTTGCCGCTCCTGGACTTCAACCGGCGTGAGAATAAGCTACATTTTACTGTGTGAAAAAACGCACGTGTAGCATACAACAACAGGCATTCAAGCAGCGTGAAAATAAGCTACATTTTACCGCGTAAAAAACGCCCTTGTGGCCGTAGCCTGACAGCCTTCTTTTACTGGATCAAATGTCTCTAATTCTTCCACAAACATCGCAAGACTGAAAATACGCAAAATAATATGATCTTCATACGGTTGTTTGGAATTAACTCATATCAGTGAAACAACAAGTAACAATTTCAACAAAACCAGCTGAGATATCAATTTTGGTATCTTCATTCAACAATAATTATATTTATATATATAATAGTACTTTATAATAGGCGTGGAGGATTAGAAAGAATAAAGAGTTAAGGGACCTCATGTTGTGTTGTTTATTCCGAATCACGTTGACAATAATATTGTAAAAAGGTTAAAATACCCCAAGTTATTAAAATTGGATTGCCAAGTTATTTATTTAAATTATTTATTTAAATTTACCCCAAGTTATTGGATTGCCAAGGTTAGAAATCAGAAATCAGAAACGTTTTATTGTCCTTCAACATTTACAACAAATGCAATAGACAAAAGTCAAGAAAATTCAGCTATTACATAAACAGCCTATTTTTAGGCAAAACAAAACAAGCCTAAAAACAAGTCAAAATAGGCTATACTAATACATATGCTTACAAATAAAAAACAATGTGGAAATGTGAGGACATTAAAAGTTAACTTCGTCAACCTTAAAATATTCTTCTAAGTCATAAAAAGGATTTAAAAGTAACCAATCCTGAGCTCTTTTTTTAAATGACTTAAGGTCCAATTCTTTGGCATTGATGCTAAGCTTATTAAATAATCTTAATGAAATAACATGGTAACTATTTTTACATTTACTTAACCTACAATAAGGCACGTCTAATAGGAACTGATTACGTGTGTTGTGTGAATGGATATTAAACCTATAAACATGGGAACTAGTATTTTTCTTAACCCTAAGTAAACACATAAATATGTACAGATTAATCACAGTCAATATTCTACTTCTTATGAACAATGGTTTGCAATGCTCTTCAATTGGAGCTTTGTTTATTATTCTAACTACCTTCTTTTGGAGTATTAACACTTCACTTATGTGACTACTGTTTCCCCAAAGAATCAAGCCGTAGCTAATTATGGATTGGAAAAATGCAAAGTAGGCTACCCTTATGTAGGTTTCAGGTACAACACCCATAAGATTTCTAAGCAAACAGATTACTCTGGACAATCTTGCACAAACCAAATCTATCTGAGGAGACCAGCTTAAACATTTATCAATTTTTATTCCTAAAACTGTAATTACATTTTCATTGTTTACATCTTGTGACTCTACTGGAATGTTTTTAAGACTACACAATAGATTTTGAGTTTTATTCTTATTAAGACAAAGGCTATTAGCATTAAACCACATATAAGCTGAATCAGTTGTGAGCTCAGTTACTGACATAAGATCATAAAAGTTGGGATGAACACTCAAAAAATTGGTGTCGTCCGCAAACATGATGGTAGAGGATCTTTTAATATTGGCTGGTAGGTCATTGATGACTGTGATAAAAAGAAGGGGGCCTATAATCGAGCCTTGTGGCACACCTGAGCTAACTTTCAAGCAGCTTGACATCTTGCCTCCTGCATCAACGAATTGAGTTCTCTCTCTCAGGTATGAATCAAAAAACTTAAGCTGTATACCGCGGATGCCATAGTACTCCAGCTTAGTGATGAGTATGTTGTGATCAATACAGTCAAATGCTTTACTCAGATCACAAGCTGTGATCTGAGCAAAGCTCGACTCCTCAAAAGCTCTCAAAATCTTAGAAACAAGGTGGTCCAGGGCATCCACGGTAGACAAACTTTTACGAAAACCAAATTGAAAATTTGAAAAAATTTTGTTTGTGTCAAAAAAAGAACATACCTGAGGTTTGATGACAGCTTCAATGATCTTGCCAATTATAGGGACCAGAGAAATAGGACGATAATTTTTAATCTGTGATTTTTCCCCTTTTTTGAAAATTGGGATGACTCGAGAAATTTTTTGGGAGGTTGGGAAAACACCTTCTTTCAGACATAGGTTGATACAAAAGACAAGGGGCATTACTATTTCAAAGATAATGTGTTTAACAATATTGCTTGTGAGACCATACACATCTTTGCTTTTTGAGGATTTCATTTTTGACACTGCACTGAGCACATCATCACATGACACTTCATTCCACTCAAGTTGGGTGCTGGGCCTCTTCACTTGCTGCAGGAAGTGATCCGCAGGCAGGGGACTCACAGGAATGCTGGCTCGAACATCGTTTACGGAGTCGATGAAGAATCTATTGAAGTCCTCGGCAGAATGGTTGTTGCTGACCTCCTTCTTCTCTCCAGAAACTCGCCTTACTATCGTCCACGCTGCTTGGCATTTGTTTGCTGATCGCTCAATGAAGTCAGCGTTTGCGGCTAATTTTGCTCTGTTCGCAACGTTTTTATAGAGGTTTCTTAGTTCTTTGTAGGCACTGTACGAGGCATCAGTTCTAAGGTTCATGTAGACAGTACGGTAAGCCATAACTGTTTCCTTAAGTTTCTTGAGGTCATCACTATACCAGGCCACTCCACTTTTAGGCCTATTGTCCTTACGTCCGGAAATCTTCTTTGCGGTTAGGTAACTAACAGGACAAGTTAAGTTGAAAATATCAATCAGCTTGTTAAAAAAAAAATTGAAAGTCTCTTCAGCTGACTGATGGGCCGCACGGTTACTGTTCAGGATGTTAGGCCAGTTCACATTCCCCAGTTCAGCTTTAAAGTTGTTTAAGCACCTTGGGGAAAGACTGCGGTGCATAATTTCCTCAATATATGGTTTAGCAGCTTCTGATGCCGTTATTAGCCTCAACTCCAGGCCTTCGTGATCAGCTATGTCAGGGTGAACGATGTGTGTGGAGCAGGAGTTGGTCGGGACATTTGTAAAGATATTGTCCAGACAAGCTTTTTTGCGAGTAGGCTTGTCATTTAAGTAAACACAATCAAATTGCCTGAGTAGGTTAAGTAATCTTCTAACACTAGGCTGATCTCGGGTAACATCAAATCTTGAGTTTACATCGCCACCAATAACAATATTCATCTTCAATTTACTCAGGTGGATCAGTAGTAGCTCCAGATTATTCAGAAATATAAGTTCATCCCCTGCAGGAGAGTGATATATACAAACAATTATGATTTTAGGATTGTCTAAAACTATTCCCACACATTCAAAGCTTATTTCATGACAAAAACATTCAATGTCCAACACTTGGAAGGTAGGCCTAGTGGGCTTGCTATTATTGGCGAATATTGCGACGCCACCTCTTATATGGGTTTTACGACAAAATATCGATGAAAGCTCATAACCCTCAACGATAACATAACCTGCCTCGTTTGGGTTCAACCAATGCTCGCTAAGGCAGAGAAAGTCATACTGATTACTCACAGCATGTAGGCCTAAGATGTTTTCCTTGGAATGTAACCCCTGCACATTAAGAAACAAGACATTAAGGTTATCATTTACTGGGTTTAGGCTATGTTTGCCCCAGTCTCGGCCGTGCGTTGAGAGTTTAAATTGCGCCTTGGAAGTTTGAATTCACTGATGAAAGTGTTTTCCGGCCAAAAGTCCTCACAAAAAATGCTATCCCATAGCGATTCTGGAACACCAACTTTGAAGGAGTTATAGGTTGGATACTTGGTATTCAGCTTTTCAACAACATAATCGCCACTTTTGAATGATGTAAGATGGTTTACGACATCGGCCTTTTCGACCGAAGGTTGAAGTCTCGAAACAAAAATAAATTTAGTCCTTTTCACTGCCTTCAGGTTAGAACTGTCATTACTGTTTGTCAACTTACCAGTGCCAGTTAATACTTTCCGGGTGGGCCTGCCATTTCCTTTAGGTTTAGTAGGCCTAACAGTTTCTTGATTCGTTAGTTCTGGCCTTCCATTTTCTAGGTTAGGATTAGACCTATTTTGCACGGTAGTTCTCTTCTTGTGCCTAACTGTCCTCCATGGGTTTCTGATGGAGTTAGAAGCACTCACTTCGGGGAAAGAGTCACTGGATATTACGTTATTTCCATTCACAGACGTCTTCTCAATATTCCAAACACAGGGTAATGGTTCACGGTCAAAATCTGCTTTCTTGGGGTTATCAACCGGCGTCATCATAACATTTATGGTTAAAATGGCAATCCAAGACAGATTCAGTTGTTCACCACTTTCATGAATACCATCCATCCCAAATTAAAATTCACTCTCGAATTAGAAGAAAACAATTCTCTGAATTTCCTCGATCTGACATTGAATAAACGTGATAGTTGTTTTGCCTTCAATATCTATAGGAAACCAACAGCTACGGACACAACTATTCATGCAACGTCTCATCACCCTATGTCTCACAAACTTGCCGCATATAATAGTTTTGTTCATCGCCTTTTAACCATACCATTGAACACTGAAGATTACGAAACCGAAAGAAACATCTTAAAGCACATCGCAACATCCAACGGATACAGTCCTGTTATGATTGATAATTTAATTAAAAAACACCGCAAGAAATTGAACAATCCTCCCACTCGAATTCCACAAAATAAACGTGAGTTTGTTTCAGCAGAATTTGGCGAACAATTGCCTCTAACAATAAAAAATGAGATGAAAAAACATGGAAAAATAGTATCCTTTAGAACCTCCAACAAATTAGATAAGCTTATAAACACGAAAGGATCAGGTGGTGATGTTAACAAGAGAACCGGAGTATATAAATTATCCTGTAACGACTGCAGTAAATTTTACATAGGCCAAACAGGGCGGTCCTTTGAGAAAAGATTTAAAGAACACATTCCAAAAGCCTCCAAGGTGCAAAAATCTAATTATGCCGAACATCTGGTACTAAACAACCACAACTATACTAATTTGGAAACAAACTTAAAACCATTGCACATTTGCAACAAAGGCAGGATCATGACAGCTCTGGAACAGTTTGAAATTTATAAAGCCGCAAAAAACAATCCCCAGGACATATTAAATGACAAAAGCACTCTGCAAACTAATATTCTATTTGAATCACTCATAAAGTTGGACAAGGACCGTGATAAAGGCGGCCAGGGGACAAAGTTCAGCTCCTGAACCAGTCGAGACTCGGCACCCGTCATGTGCACACCAGTGTCTGTAGGCCTACAGTTTTTGTCCCAGTTTTTTAAATGTTTAAATGTTTGTGTATTTTTTGTAAACTTTGACACGACCAATTCAAGAATGGTTTAAGTTCTTCAAGTTTGTGACCTGATGATGATGTGAATACATCGAAACGCGCGTAGTCCAGTACAGGAACAGAGGAATCACGAGGCAGTTACAGGTATTTTAACCTTTTTACAATATTAAGGGACCTTTATAAAATACCTGATATTGTAGCTTTAATTAGAAGTAGGAGAGTCAGATGGCTTGGGCATGTTAGAAGAAGAGAAGAAGGCAGCAGTATAAGAAGAGTGTGGAGGGGAAAGCCTGAAGGAAGACGCCCACTGGGGAGACCGAGATCTAGATGGGATGACCAGGTTGCTGAAGACATCGGAAGACTGGGCGCAGAGTTGGACGAGGCAGAAGATAGAGAAAGATGGAGGCACCTTGTTGGCGAGGCCAAAAATCTCCTTGGATTTGTGTGGCCACAGGAGTAAGTAAGTAAGTATATAATAGTACTCACCTGTACGAGTCGCGCCAACGCAGCAGAAAATGGCCGGGAAAACTGACAGGATCACATTTGATGCCGACACGACGTGCGACACTCTCGTACACGATGGAGAGAGTAATCGGAATCCCTCTTGTGTGTTCCAATACCTGCCGATCAAATATGAAATCAGTAGAAAATATCCTCAAAACCCAGTCTCTTTACAGTGGAACCTTAATAACAAGACCCTCGATAACAAGTCACCCTTTTTAACAAGTGTCATTTTGTAATCCCCTTGAATTTTATTTTAGACCTAATCACATGTTATTGCAAACCTCGATAAGAAGTCGACCTTGATAACAAGTCTTTTTTAATAATCCCCATGAGAGTCTTGTTATCGAGGTTCTACTGTATTACTTTTCATTACTTTTCATTTAAATGGCGACCATACAAAGTAGGTATTTTTTAAGCCAAGTATGAATGTAGATGAGTGTAGGAAGAGTGGTGCGATCTTGTAGTCTTGTTAGTCACTAAGGCCGACATATAGCTTAGGCACAACTGTTAATTAATAGCCCATACAGCTAATGGCAACTAAGGGACCTAGTTTATAGTGGAATCCGAACCACATTTTTGACTTGGTATTAACGAATTGGTCTAATTATCAGGATAGTGCTGCGGATAGTCTTAGTACTAACTAGTGCGGACGTTAATCCACACCAGGGAGTATCGCATCCACAGTGCATGCCTACATTTAGGCATACGTTACATCCTTAACCTCTAGAAAATACAGTACAGACCCAAAAACTCAGAAGATGACAGGCTATTTTGATGATATTATGATATAGTGAAGATGAAATTAAAATTGCTAGTGGGACATAACGACAATATGAATTATAGAACAGGTTATTATAATTTTTGAGAACTTGAAATATATGAAGTTAGGATAAGATTTTTTTCAGAAATAATTATGTAAGCGTAAATAAATCATTCAGCTAGTGCAGAGGGTGGAAGCATCTGTTCTAAAACAGATGTAGGTAGTATATTTCAAGGTAAAAATCACCAAGACATTTCTAAAATGGAACATTTTTTAAACTTTAATTAAAAAAAAAAAATATTACCCACAAATCCCACATCCCTACTACATGAAAAAATCCTATCTTCCTTGAAAAAATGTAGATTGTTTTCTAACCTCTCCTTAATTAATTACAAAACTATGTACTCAACAGACACTATTCATATACATAACTTGTACCTTCAGTATCTAATAGTCAATGCTTGTACTTAATTATTGAAGATAATTTTGTTTGATTATAGGCTATAGAGTTACATCTTATTAATTAGACTATTACCGTACCTTGTTGATGTACGAGTTGTCTGGTGAGTAGTACATGTCACTGTTCCCGTAGAAGCCCAAGTCCTTAAACAGAACCTTGCTGATAATCTCGATGATTTGGCGTGACTTGTAAGGGTCGTAGTGATTGTCGGATATATTGTGAATACGCCAGTTGTCACGCAACTCGCTAGAGACACATAACGCCGGATGTTGGTCACCAAACTCAGCTTTAATGGCTTCCAACACCTTGTCAGCAATGGCGTCCAATCGAGAGGCTGCAAGTGATAAACAAAGAATTGAGACAATACTGTATGTTATCTAGCCTAAGCAGCCAGAGATGAAGTTGAATATGTTCTTGTGGTGATTTGTACAGACACAACGTGTAAAAACGAACAAAAGATCTTCCCCTTTACAGAATTAAATTAAAGACATTGAGTCCTTGCCCAGATTATCTTATACAAATACTAGGCCTACTACTTAATACAAATCCACTAAAAAGAGTAATTGAAAGGGAAGCATGCACTAGTGTTTGATACCATTTTCACTAAGAGTAACATCTACCACTAAGTGAAAAAAGCAAAGGGATGATAAACATATTTTTTGTAAAAGTTTTAAAGCAGACTATTAAAACGAGTGTTTTTATAACTGCATATGCGCAAAATCGATTCTATTTTTAACTGTGATAAAATTAGGATTTTTTTTTTTAGGAAGTGTATAAATCCATTATGAAAGGTCGGCTAAACTCCGGTTTTGAAATTTAGGGCAGTCAAACCGACCACTGATTTTTCCTGGCCACTATTCCAAGCCATGATCCTTAGGTTAAGAGAGTGTCTAATTGATGCACCAGGGCTGGTCTAGTGGTTAAGTGTGGAGCTTAGGTCCCTAAAGTCCTGGGTTAAAATCCTTCCAGTCACCAATGGTTTGCTACGTGATAACACCACGACCTTCTAGGCCTAGTCTAAAGTAATGAGTAAAGTGGCTATTTTATAGAGCATACAAAATTCCACCTCATTCTAGACTTACCGATGTCTTTCCTAGTTATTTCTTCCAGAGGTTGACACCACTGAGCGATAAGCACGGCTGCATTTTCCAGCAACTGTTTTTCCGGAGGTAAATTTTTGTACTCTTCGATCTTCTTTTTCAGTAGTGCTTGCTTCGTACGTTTCACAATTTTCTCGCAATAGTATTTGTTTGTTAGGTTGGTATTCCTGGGTGAAAATCAATGTTTATATTCCACCACAATAAAGATTATCACAAAATTGTACAAAATATGTCTGTTATCCCCTCAATATTAATTTTCAGCCAAATACAAAACCACTATCCATTCAAAGACAGCTCCGGTTTTTCAGGTAAATATTTTCAGATAATTCTTGCTCTTTTAAACAACTTGTTTAATGGAATGGATCACACATAAAGCAATAAAATAATCTAAATTATCCATCTAAATGAAGATTAATTGGATCCATCTAATGTTTATGAAGATAAATAAATAACCGTAAAAACACTTAAATTGGATAACATTTTTTGGCGTCGGTCCATTGTTGATACCTACCCTGAAAATTAGTAATTTTCAAGGTTAGCTGATAAGAGTAAACTTTTAGCCACCTTAAAACACTGAGCTACTTAAAAGTTGATAAGATAATGTAATTCCTCAGTTTATAAAACTCTTACATAAAGCTTCAGTACCGGTAAGTTTCTCAGGTTATGCCACAAATACTAGAAAAATACCAGTATGGATCATTAATATAAAAAATGACAAGTTTGGCCCAAAAAACAAAACCCCAACACTAATAGCATTAATTAACATATGGTTTTGTTTACTTTCGAGCCCAAAACGTCATTTGATTAAGTTTATGATCCATATCGGGTCTTTTCTAGTATTCATGGGTTATACTTACTTACTTTATACTTTCTTATGAAATGGCAACCATAAGAATGTAGGTATTTTAAGCCAAGCATGAATGGAGATGAGTGTAGGATGAGTGGCGCGATCTTGTAGTCTTATTAGTGACTAAGACCTACATGATCCATAAATAAAGCTGTTGATTAATAGCGCATACAGCCAAAGGCAACTAAGAGACCACAGTTTATAGTGGGATCCTAACCACATTTTTGCTTTGTAAGTAACGAATTGGTCTAATTATCAGGATACTACTGCGGATCGTCGTAGTACTCACTAGTGTAGACGTTAATCCACACCAGGGAGTATCGCATCCACAGTGCATGCCTATAAATATCCACAATTCGCGACCTAATAGTAGCTGGATTACAGGACGACGCTACCGTCCCAGTTGAATGTGAATGGTACAAAAATTAAGGTCAACAAGGTATTCACTAAGTGTACTATCCAAGGTCACGCCGCTAGAAGTCTGCTTGACAGTATATCATGCGTATGTTCATTCTTTGCTGGCTTATGGCGTCACTCTATGGGGTAACTCTGCAGAGGCCAAGAAAGTGTTCACTTGCCAAAAGTCAATTCTCAGAACTATTTTTCACCAGAAGTCTAAAAAAAGCTGTAAACCTTTTTTCAAAAAACATTCCATTTTAACATTACCTTCTCTTTATATATTTGAAATAGCAAAGTATGTTCATGCAAATCCTTTCTTTTTTGAAAAATATAAGATAAATCATAACTATCAAACGAGAAATAATAACAAAACTTTTCAATATCCCAAACATTCGCACACAAAATTTGAAACTGGGCCTCTTTACATGGGATTAAAAATCTACAATCATTTACCTAATTCATACAGAACTTTATCAAAATCAAATCTATATCTATAAAAGAGGAACTATGTATGTATATATATATATGTGTGTGTATATACGTTATGGACTCCGAAACCGCTAGACAGATTGTAATGAAACTTTCAGGCTTTATTAAGCATCTTTCTAGGATGGTTCGAGTGAAGTTTGGTGCAGATCCGTCAAAAGGGCTCTGCCCCAGAGGGTTTTAAGTGGGCCAATGTCAGACTTTTTGATCTACAATGTTTACAAATAAATATAATTTAAAAGCATATGTTTACTTTCACCAATTGTTTTGTAGGTTAATAATCACAACATTCTGTATTAGCATTAGTCATGATTTGAAATAGTGCTACAGTGTTTCTACAGAGTGCAGCACAGAAAACTATTTTACTTTTGAATAAGTCCAAATTTATAAACCCCAATCGCAGCACACCTGTGCACTCAACAACGTTTAAATTCTTCAATGTTAAATATTAAAAACATTATAACCTTTATCAAAATATTATAAACAATAAAATCGATGACTTTTTTAAATTTATGACAACAGCTAATTTGCAACCAAAAGGTGAGTGAGCGTAGCAAACGAACATGAACCTGGAGGCGAGTAAGCGTAGCGAACGAGCTAACCTGAAAACAAGAGAGCGCAGCGAACGATTTCCAACCTGAAGGTGAGTGAGCGTAGCGAATGAACTTCAACCAGGACGTGATTGAGCCATGCGAATACTTATGAAGTTAAGCGGGGCAAGGCCCGCGGGTACAGCTAGTTTTACATATAAACTGAAAGAGACTTTGAGCCAAAAAGCGTATTACAAAATTCAGACGTTTTTTAAAGATAAATTGTAATAGTTTTTACTCTTGTCAGGGTATAATTAGATTAAGGAACCTAGATATAAATTAGATATAAATTGACCATGTACCAGCTTGGGAATTACTTTTGTAATTATTGTATCAGGCGTTATGTACAATAAAGCTTTGTCTATTGTCTATTGTCTATTGTCAAAACAATCTTGAGTGAACACACAATTGCACAAATTTTAATTAGTAGGCCTAATGAAAGACTGTAACTAAAAGTATATTGCTAGCCCAGTGATTAGCATCTCTAGATTCGGTGCGGGAGGATTAGATTAGATTCCTGCACAAATCATATAAGTGGGTTGGACCGCTTTCCCAAAAAGCGTTAAGAATGACACTCTCTCATTTCCTCAGAAAAATGCACCAGCAAAGACAAAAAAAAATCTGCATTGTCTTTCATTATAGGACTGAGATAACAGAATAATGATTCCTTTTTTTTTGTAATACTAATTCCCCATTTCAGGGATAGGCTACATCCCTATTTTGTAAGAATATACCCTTTACCCCATCTAATTACCCTTTTCTCCCGATGACTAACCACATTGGATATCTACCCCACTGAAAACCCCGAATTCCTACAGGGTCCCCTAGTGAGTTGTAGCCTATTATCTGGTAATAAAAGGAGCTCTCAGTGCCAAAAAGTTTATTTGAGAAAGTTGTAGTATTAATTATATAGGACAGTTAAAAGTGATTTTAGATCGTTTAAGGTGAGGTCTGGGTTCAAAATAAAATTCTCGCAATGGCAGCCACATCACTGATCATATATTTCAATCATGGCAAAATTTGTGGTGATTTCCCACGGTTACAGCAACATCCGTGATGATTTCTTGTGATGTCGGACATTCATGTCTACCTTCAGGGTTATTTCCCGCATTCACGGCACACAACCTGTGATGATTTCTCACAATGTCCCGTATCATATCGCTGCAAAATTTAAGATGATTTCCCAAGATCGTAGCATTTCAGTAATCATTACTTGGAATCACGGCAAAAGCCATAGAAATTTATCACCATCACGTCAACACGCGTGATAATGAGTCTTTCGTTTGTGGCAACATCCGTTTATCCTCCCTTTGATAGTGTCCACACCGTTGTTTATATATCACAACACAATAGTGGCAGCAATGATTTAATATTTAATCCTATGACTATTTTTGAGATCACTGTAGACTTGAAGACCACATTTAAACGGCCTTGAAAACTACTTCTGATCGTAGCAAAGCCATAATTGCAGAACCTTAAGCATCAAACTCAATTGCGGCAAAATCTCCGATAATTTGATAATTTTTCGAAGTGTTTCTTTTATCTTTAAACAAAATATTGCATGGAAAACAACATTTTCATCGCTAACAAAATCTCTTTACGCCTTTGAACTTTAAAAACGCGGGCAAATTTTTACCAGAAATAATATTTTTTAACATTGGCACAACATTTCTACCGATAGGCTCAGTAAACATTTAATAAAAGATTGTTCAAAATTAAAAATGTTTAAACCATGACATGTAATGGATGACCGGAGAGCAGACTTTTATCATAATCAATCGGCTACTTTCTGATTAATCTATACTTCTATATCTATACTTATTATATAAAAATCTAATGGTGTCTGTCTGTATGTGTATTACTAATAGGTGCAAAAACTACTGAACCAACTGGGCTTAAATTTTACAAAAATATAGTTACCAAACCAAGGACCATTATAGGACTATTCACACTTCGATACTGACCGTGGGCTTTGCCCCTTTGGCTTTAAAAGTTCTGAGGTGAACATTTTAAAAGTAAATAGTATTGATTGGTCTCCATGGCTGCGATGAGAACACTTACAGTGTTTACATTTGCTTTGACATTTAAATGTAAACAAGAAGAACTGCCAAATTGCATATTTCACATTTTAAGACAGCTGATCCAATGAAATTTAATATAATATTTCATACAATTATGTGGTTGGTTTATTGTTAGCGTTCCTGCACTACTTTCGATTTTAAGGTGTCTTTTTTTTTTTTTTACAGCATTTATTTTTGGTTCAATGTAGACATTATACACAGAAGTGTTAACAAAATTAAAAAGAAATTAACTATAATAACATCGTGGGTTCGCCCAAACCTGGTACACCCTGTCCTCTCTTAAGGTGTCTTAAGTGTTATGAAAATAATGTTATTGATATATTTTCATGGAAACAGTTAGTAAGAAAATTACAATGTATAGATGTTTTATATGAATGTCTACTTTAAATAAATTCGAACTGCTTAACATGTGTTAAATTAACTTAACATAACTTTCACATCACATTAATTTTTTTTATATGTAGGCTATATATATTTAAGTAAATTTAGTTATTGTGTTTTGCTAAACCTATGCTTAAATTAAACTAAAGAATATCATCAATAACTAAATTGTAAGTCGTTGATTTAAATACTCTTATTTTATCTTAAAATAGCTTTCAGTTCACATTTACTTTATTTGATAAATTTATTATTTGTGTTTTGCCACATCACTGATTAAATTAAAACCAAGGAAAATATCATAAAACTAAGCAGTGCACAGTGTTCTTTTGTTTCTAAAATCAATGAAATATCTTTTACTATGTTTACTTAATGGTAAGTGTGAAAATGTAAAGGCAATGGACGATGGAACTGATTAAAAGAACTGGTTTGTATATTAATTTGTTTGTTTATATTTTTGTAGAGTAGAATCAGAGATGCAATGAAACATTTACTGTACTTTTTATTACATTTTTTTTTGTCCTTGATGCTTTGATAATCATATTAGTTTTGTCTGCTGTCTTTAATGCTAAATTATTTGTTTAACATTTTTTATAGTACAGATATAGTTTGACTATTGATAAGGCACAACAATATTTCTTAAGTTTATAACAGCTGACTTAGTTTTGCTAATGATTTATTGTGAGTGAAGAAACTGAAGAGGGAAGGATTCGTGATTTAATATACAGAAGAGTGAAATTTATAAAATGTTCATTTAAATTTAATAATTAGTATTTTTGCAACTTCAAAATTGAAATTTAAAATGTCAAAAATAACTAAAAAAGATATGTAACTAAGGGAGATGAAGGTAAATCATGTATGTGAAAGTTTTATTCGAAGATTTAGTCAGTTTTTCTCATATCAGCCTACAGAAGATTTAAAATTAATCAAACCCAAAATGGTGGTATGTTTCTATTAAGGCCATAAAAGTTGAATTTTGTTTATAAAAGCGTTGGTGGATGTGTAACTGTATTATGTATAAGCAACAGATGTAAAGATAAAAATGTTTCTATTTTGTGTCCTCTTCCCGCTGCAAAGCACGGGTACAACAGCTAGTAAGCAATATAATAACATAATAACGTGTAATTAACTTAGGCCTATGTCAAATAGTACTGGGTGCATTTAACAAGACTAGCTTAAACTGCTGTGGATTTTAACAAACTAACCTGTTTTCATGGTGAATACACCTCATCAACTCGTCCATGATGAAATAACTCGCTACTTTTGTATCGGTTGCACTGAGAACGAGGTTATCGAAAACTTCATAATGTTCTTCCCACAGTTCCTCACACATTATATACTTGGCTGACATAGCCTGCACATTGACCATAGTTTCTCTTCCAAGCTTCAGCCGAAACATGAAAGCTTCTTTATAATCGACCTCTTTCTTATTTTTGTACACTCTGGCTGCCAAGCCAGGCCACCTGAAATATATGTGAATGTAGCTAGAACAAGCAACTTCAAAACTTTGTTAAGTTAATTTATACCATGATGAAAATAAACCTCATCAGTAGTGGCTTAACCAGCATTTGAGATTGGGGGGGGGGGGGTCCTCAGGGGGGTTTGGGAGCATGGAATAAATATTTCAAAATTTGGCCTTCAAATAGAGCAATTTAAGGCCAAATAAGCAATAAGGAGACGTAGGAATTGGCTAACTCAGGAACTCGCTAACTCGGTCGTGTGTCGGAACTGGCTAACTCTGGAACTGGCTAACCGTCTCAGTCAGGAATTGGCTAACTCCGGAACCCGCTAACTCGATTTTGTCTCGCGGCGGAATTCCCTAACTCTGGAAGTCGCTAACCCGGCCGCGCCCACTGCACGGAGCGTTGCCAACCTTGTACGACAAAATAATCGTACACTGCCGTATTTCAAAATGTCCGTGTCAATAAAGATGCAGTAAATGTTATTGTTTTTTGTTATCAATTCCACTTTTAACAGACAACTAGCCCAAAGTAATTCAAAGACAATTAAAAAATCATGAAAAAGTGTTTTTTTATTAAACTGTACAATGGCCAGTTAAATGTTTATGATTTCGATCTTAAATATAAATGCCATCAGTATAAAAGAAAATAATAGAATATGAAAAATATTGAAAATTCAGTTTAATTGGTACTAAATAATTAAACCTCTACGAAATCAAGCTAAAATACACGCAAGTTCTTAAACATGGAAACATATTTAATCGTAATGTCGTAATAAACCAAAACCACAGTCATCAACCATCGTAACTTTCATTACTAATTCATAGATTTTAAATTAAATGTTCGTCGTTGAACCGTCCAACTTACGTGTACAAATATGATGACATAGACTAAGTTTTTATCTAGGCCTAAATAGCATTGTAGGCCTACTAGTAAATAGTTGCCTAATACTAAAATGTGTTGAATTTTTTAGCAATAATGTTACATGTTTTAAAACCGTTTATAAATTGTACACCTAAGCACCACTAGTAAAAAAATAGGAGAAGATATAATATTCATATAATAAAACGTGACAGAGTTATTTTAATTTACGATTCTTATCAAAAGAATTGACGGATTTTCCTGATTTGAGTGTTGGGTTTCCTTTATATTGCTTTCACAATCGACTATACCAAGCTATTGCTCGGTTCACCGTTCCCAAGTACTGAGCTACACAATAGACAATAGCTTTGTTTTTGGATAAGATTAAGTAATTGAGCGAAGCTCACTTTCCCTCACTTTGTAACTTCTTTGTAAGAGCATCTGAATGTAATGGCTTGACTAATTGATATGAAATTTGGCCAACAGCTAAAGAATACTGGGCACAATGTTTAGGATAAAAAATATTTGCAAATTTCCTTCTGGATTTTATTTTACGAGTCACGCAATTTCGCTTGTTATTTTAATGTAAGTTAAAAGAAAAGTTATATCATAGACTAACCAACACAAGTAGACTTCTCATCCCATTGTAAATTTTGAAGCACGTTTTTCGTGTCTAGTTCATGTACGTGGCACAAAGGCGCCAGTGTCGATGAAACTTTGTTTCCATTATTTTAGGGTTAATTTCTTGATTTTTGCTTTACTGTTTGGTTATATAACTAGGGGACAAGTTATTGTTTATGATTAGACCGTATTATTTGTTTAAACTAGGTTTTAAATGGCTGTAATAACGGGAAACAAATTGTAAACAAAACACGACCTCTACATAAACCGTACATGAACTAACAATAATATTGTCTTCAGCTGTTCCATAAGGATGAGAAATCTACTAAGGGAGTATGTTTTATCTATGGTTATATTGAGTTTATGACATATGGGTGTATCTCGTTTCATTTAAATAAGATAAACATAATATGTTAATTATTGTTTATAACGGTTTTGTTTACATTTCAATGTTTACTTTCATCCTAGGTTAAAGTTGGAATGTAACAGTTTATCAATGGAAGTAACAGTTTTGCTGTATTTGTTTTGAGCATGCCTCAAAGGCTACGTCGTAATATTGGTCGTCGCACCAATAATGCAAATATTGTAAGAGTTCGACGTGAAAACTAAAGCAAGCACTTATTTGGCTGAAGGCAAATAACCCATTCTATTTTTACATAACCATTAGTGAAGAAGTGCTACACCAACTACCAGTCAATGATTTTGTTCACATGAGAGTCCTATGTGTACGTGAAAACCAAGAAACTCCTGATGAAATCGAAGAAGACTAAGTTGAAGAAACATCGGTGCCGGAACATATTGTAGCTTCTTTAGCCATTGACAATCTTTAAATAATGCTTCGCTCATTTATGCGTCTAAAGTATAACGGCAGACCACCCTAGTTTTAGCTATGGCCACCATTCATAAGAATTGTAACAAACAAGAATGCCTGGGTCCATTTAGAACCAGCCTGGAGAAAAACTCCAGACCTTTAAAAAGTAGGCCTACTGAAAGACGTAAAATTAATATTAATTCAACAAAATTAAGAGGATGATCCGGGTTCTACACAAATAGCCTACGATAAACGAAATTTAAAAGTTGTATTTATGCATGGACTAACTTTTAATGCAATCCATGAATAAATTAGGCCTACCACTTTATAATGTATTGATAAATATTTATTTAAATTAAATTCAATAGCTCTATTTAAAAATACATTACCACTACAATGTAATTCTGTAATGACGTTTAGCGTGTAAATTTTATTATGATGTATGATTCAAGATTACAAGGCCAGTATATAATATACGAACTCAATAATTTTATTTGCAGAAGTTCACAAAATGGTATTTATTCGAATAAAAGAAACAAATCGCGGACTACGAAAATAGATATTTCATAACATGTAATAGATCCAAATTAAATGTGCATTTTTATCTTTTTGCATACCAATAAGCTACTATTTAAGTAAGAAACCCACATATAAAACATACTCCCTTATATTAGTACATTTCTCATCCTTATATGGATCAGCTGAAGACAGTTTTATTGTTAGTTCTGTCCGGTGCACTGTCTTTAGAGGTCGTGTTTTGTTTATTGTTTCTTGTTTTCAGTAATTTAAAACCTTGTTTAAGCAAATAAAACGTTCTAATCATAACTAATAACACGTCCCCTAGTTATATAACCAAACAGTAAAGAACAAATCAAGATGTTAACTATAAAATAATAGCCTAGAAACACAATTTTGTCGACACTAGCGATCAGTGTCACCGGACATGAACTAGACACGAAAAACGAGCTTCAAAGTTTACAATGGGATGTAAAGTTTACTTGTGTTGGTTAGTCTATGGTAAGACTATAATGCATTTTTCCACCCTAATAATTATAAGAATAATGTTAAACATACTTCTAAATATATTTATTTTATCGACTACGTTGCTCTTACTCCTAATTAATCGTAGGATACGACATTATGGTACCGACACGATATAGGTACTTCCGGAGTTAGCCAATTCCGAAACCGAACAAGTTAGCGAATTCCTCGCATCGACCAAATTTGAAGATAGGGCGTTTAACATGGGGTTAGCGAGTTCCAGAGTTAGCCAATTCCGCGGACCCGCAATAAGTTGTTCTATTTTGCAAATCGTTCTTAACTATTTTAACATATTTTTATATAGGCCTACAGCATCTTTTTATTTTATACACAAACAATTAAATATTTGAAACCTTATCTCTTGCATTCACTATTTAAACAAACTCTTACCAAATGTTTCAACTGCTTTGTAGCACCGTACCAGTAGCGGCATAGTTGTTATGGTAGCATGGTAGGCTACCATAATATATTTGAATTAGAAGTAGGCTATTGATATATTTTTGTTTATTACATATTTAAATTAGGCTAGGTATCGATTATTGCTGTCGATTTGTATGATTTTCAATATACATGGTGGGGCAATGAGAACGCCACAATTTGTTTTAGCTGTCACATGTTAATTGTTGCAACAACGAATGATCAGCTGTGCTTAAAACATCAATTAAACTATGCCATTTTAGTAAATATTATGCCCGAGGCTATTAACACTGAGATTTTGATGTGCAGACCTATTTTTAAAATAGTGGTTCTTGTGCAAAAACCCAGAGATTGTGTGGACCACATTCCATCCTTGGTCAACATACTGCGACTCTTTCAACATTTGCTGGTGTACAAAGAGTTTTGTGGCACCCACTGATTATTTTTAAGGTTTAAGCGTTTATCCTAAATAATTTTACCCAGTTCACCATTGTTTTCCAATCTGGAACAGTGTCATGTTGACCAAGGATGGAATGTGGTCCACACAATCTCTGGGTTTTTGCACAAGAACCACTATTTTAAAAATAGGTTTGCACATCAAAATCTCAGTGTTTATAGCCTCGGGCATAATATTTACTAAAATGGCATAGTTTAATTGATGTTTTAAGCACAGCTGATCATTCGTTGTTGCAACAATTAACATGTGACAGCTGAAACAAATTGTAGCGTTCTTATTGCCCCACCCTGTATAACTACAATATAGACTATTTTATTTTGGTTAAAACTCTTTTTCTAATAGCCTAATAAAAATTTTCTTTTTTTTTGCCACAATTTAGCCACATCATTAGAGTCACATGGCATAGGTTTTGAATTGTTGAAGTAGTAAGCGTTGCTCATTCATGTGTATATAGTTTTAATAATATTAACTTATATACATACAATTTTCTGTTTTCAATTAGCCAACATATCAACATCAACACCAATCAAACTTATCTGTTCATAGGTACATTTTGAACCCTTTTTAAACATATTTTGCTCACTATTAAAACGTATTACAGTAGCCCTTTTTAAAAGGCGGTTTCCTGTTTTTATATCATTATTATTTTTTATGTCCAGTGCATGTGTATTGTGGTGTGTGTGTGTGTGTGTCGTCGACCGTCATAGTGTAGGAGGCCCAAGGTCAACTCGTTTGACATGTCACGGCTTTGACTGAAATGTCCCGAGCTCCTCCGACTCCAAGAAGGCCGAACCCACCCAAGCTCTCTCGCACAACCGAATTCTAACGTCTGCCTTCTACGGTATTTATAGTGCCTAGTCCGGTGTGGGGGGTCCCTTACCCCGGACACACCCCCTCTGGCTACGCCACTGACCCTCATATTGCTGGGTGAAGAGTATTTTTATCCTTATTAACACTCAAAGAAACAGGTTGATTTTACAACAGAGAAGTAAGATACAGAGGAAAAATTTCAATGGTAGGTGTACCTATATACTTAAGTAGTGTCCATCGAAGTTAAATAATACAACTGGAACACTGGGTATATAAAAGAAGTGGGATATAAAGCACGCCGTTTCGGCAACCTTCCCCCTCCACCATGAGGGAACCAACGCAGAAAAGTCAGTTCCTCAATCTGTGCACGCGGTTGTTAATACGCTCCTGGCCGTGTATAGGCTACAATAGGTTGACTGCAATTATCTTACTAAATATTATAAATGTGAAAGTTTGTGTGTTTTTTTGTTTGTGAAACAACCACTGTGAAACCGGCAAATCTTTGATAGGTATCCGACTCCACTGTAGCGTAGCCTATAACCTTACCGTCAACCGGGGTTAGATTGACCCCTTTTTTGATTAATTTTTGTTTATATTGATTAACATTCACAATATATTTTTTAAATTATATACAGGTACTGTGTGAATGCCAACCAGTATTATTTTGTTTTTTATTGCCATATGTTAGTCATAAAAAAAAATTATAAAAGGGGTCAATGTTACCCCGTGTCTTGGGGTGACATTGACCCCCTACATTTATTATACTAAAATTATACATAATAAAGCACTGGGGTCAATGTTACTAGTGTACAATTAAACTTTGACCCCTGTAAAAGGGGTCAATGTTACTTAAGAACAATAGAGTGGTAACAACATCAAGGAGTGAACATAAACATTTTTTTATGAACTCACCTAGGCTATAATGATGGAATAAATCAAATTAGCAATTTTTTTATCACACGATTAGGATGTAACACCAAGGTAAAACATCAAAACTACAAGTTATTAGTGACTAAAATCATTAAATTTCCTTTACTCAAACCCTTCCAAAAAAGTTATAGAAAATTTTGCACCCATTAGATTCCAGAGTTCCCGGCTACTTACCAATCAGATCTACAGATGGGGCAGAATAGAAAACACATAATTTTCTTTTGGATGTAAATTTGTCCCCATAGTTAGTGTCAACAGAATTAAGTCACATTACTTCAACAAACTGTTAATTTTTTTTAACTTAACAGGCAAAGACCTGGTTAAAGTGTTGTTTTCCTCGCTTTCCACAGATTGCTTTTACCTCAACTTCATAGATAAAAATAAAACAATTATAAATCAACATTCTTAGTAGGTCTATTACATTATATACATAAATCAATTAAATTAAATATACCAGAATTAATAAAAATGATGTGTAGGCTAATTACTAATTAGTAACTTGGAATTATAACGAGGGGTCAAAGTTATCCGAAGGCAAAAAAAATAAGGGGTCAATGTTACAAGGCCTTAAAAAATAATTATTAATTTATTTAATTTTCTTTATTTGCTTGTAATAAGTGCTCAAATATTCCTAAAAACATATATATTTTACCATATAAAATCCTGACAGTGCCAGAACCAACAGTTTTTGCTGGGCTGAAAAAGTTTTTTGTTATGAAATTATACAGCTGTATTGTAGATGATTGTATTATAATTTTTTTGTATTGTTATAAAACTAATTTCTGCTAAATATTATTTGTTTTCAAATTGCTACCAAACTACTGAAATTTATCATATTTTTTATTTTCAATTTATTCATAACCTACTATTTAAAAAAGAATATAATAAAAATAATTGACCCCGGGGTCAATGTTACCCCTGGGGGGTCAGAATTACCCCGCTTGACGGTATCGATTAACCAATGGAAAGTTTGGGTTTTAGCTTGGCCAAATTGGGTTATCGATGTACTGGAAGCCAATAATTTAACTGTTAAATAGTGCAATGAATTCAGATAAGCTAGGCCTAACTTAAGGTCAGATCGGGTTCATTTGGAAACTCATTCAGGTGTCACTTAGGACCGAAAACAACAAATTAACTTAAGCTTATGTAACTTACAGTGAAAGTTTCAGAGCTGTATTTCAAAATAAAGTCTAAGGTAAAAGCTACTCCCCTAGGCCTAAGTTTACATGATTATTTACTAAGAGCTGACAAATAATAATTAATAGAATATTTGACACATGACAAGAGACTAGGCAAAACTTACTTACATCTGTTCAAATTTTGATTTCCATATTAAATTGCACCTGTTCACCAAATTCCAACATCGCGAATTGGTGCTTCCGAAGTGGCAGACATCTATATATGAGATGTTCTGATCTTTTAGAATTAGTTCTATTATTTCATTGGGAAGACCAGACAAATTTGCCATGTCTTGGCCTTTTTATGAATAAACTCAACCTAATAATTAGTCCTAGGCCAAATCAAAGCTTCAAGGTTGTCCGGTTTCTTGAATATTATTCAAAAAATTTAAAATTTAGAAAACATAATCTTACAGAAGCAAACACAATTTAATGCACCTTACATTTTTCATTTCAACAACGCATATATTTTACAATATGAAAATAAACACAAACACACGAAAATGCAATATTATTGTGTTAATAACACAAAACAAATACCAGTTTACCAACACAACAACAACCAACAACAGCTGGCATGAGCATCAGCTCAGCATAAACACTACTCCACCGCCACACACATAGCTTCACCACAGCACAGCCTTCTAGAGTTAGCAGATTAGTCCAGTCCGCACAATTTATATTTCAGCTGCATTTTTTTAATACGGACAAAATGAGGGTTTAAAAATTAGAAATTTAAAAAAATTATTACAGGCCTAAAACTAAAAAATAAAAATTAATTTTTTAATTATAAAGTTAAACTGTCATAACCTATCCTAACTAACCAAACTTGCTGACAATGAAAAAATTGAATGAAGGTTTACTAATCGAAAAAATAGTTCTGTTCATAAAATAAAACTATAAATAGCTCAAATAAGAATTTAATTATAAAATTAAACCGTCATAACCTAACAAAACTAACCAAACTTGCTGATGATGCAAAAATATTAGATATAAAGTTTGTGCCACCGACAGGTTTCGAACCAGGATACGATCAGTTTCTCAGCCCGGCACGCTATCCACTAGACCACCGAGGCCGATGGCTCCAAACCGTATCGTTGCTGTAATGGTGTTCCCTCAGCCAATAGAATGCTCTTATTTTGTCCGTATTAAAAAAAAACTGCAGCTGAAATAAAAATTGTGCGTTCAGTCCAACCATACCATAACCAACCAAATCACCTGGTTCTGGAGCGTGCAGGAAAACTCTTGTGCATAATCCCATAATAGTCTAATCGTGATTAAAGCTTTGAATAAGAATTAGTCATAAAATAACCTCATTGTGACTGTGATAGTATGCGCTCGCTCATGCCTTTTACTTTAGCACTTTGTGATCTTTCAGAAACTAACATGTCAATATATCATGTGTTTGTTGTAAAATGGAGTAACTGTTGATAGGGAATAAATAAATTAGTATTATCAGGGTGGCATTTATTAAATAAATGCCACCCTGATACTTGCATGCAACTAGTACCGCAGCTCTAACAGGACTTGAAGCCTTGGCTCCTGCTCTGCCAAATTTGCCTCAAATTTACCCGATTCTGCACCATATCTCCCCAGTTGTGTACTCTCAAATTCCTCAGGTATTTTTTGACTTCGTGTATCCACCTTCTCGGCCAACCTCTTCTTGGAGCATTATATTACATGTTCTGCCACAAAATCTTTTGGAAGTCTTCCTTGGTGCATCTTCTATATACACGGCCCGACCCTACTAATCCTTGTTTTAAAAAGCGTACAATATACTCTTCTTTCAACATTTCATCCAATTCCACATACCTTGAGAGCGAGGCCTGCGTCGCATCCATCTCCTTCCCTCACTATTAGAAGAATGCATTCTCATGACGATTCCCCTCTCAGAGAATGATTTGGATGCATTACTGTACCTTGGAACGGGACCAGGTTTTCGCTCCATAAGTAAGCCACGGGCCTAATGAGAGTCTTTATAACTTTATCTCTGTCATTCATGTGAATCAGCAGTTTAGACTTAATAAGCTCTATTACAAAGCTAATATATGTTTATCGTAGTATTTTCTTCAGCTATCTTTTTCTCACTGTTGAACTCTACACTATTGATAAGCCGCTACCACTTGATTCCGGTGATGGCGTGTCCCATCAGCCCACCTACCCTGACAACCTACTAACACTCTTTAGAGGTATAGCGGGTTGAATTTCACAATTGACAAAAGGCACCACCCACCCCTCCATAGCAGCGTGACACCACGGCAAACAGCCACCTCAACATATTTATTTGTTGCACAAGGTGGCACCTTGTCGGGCCCTTGTTTCTACAGTATAGGCTAGTTCACGATTACTAGAACTAGTAATCGTGGTATAGTTTATATCCGTAGCCATCTCGGGCGATGCGGTCGCATCAATTGTTCAGAGCATCAACACTTAGCAATGAAGCATTTATTTAGTTGAAAGATGCATGATCATAATCTGATATTCCTTATTAGCCTGGCGATTTTCGCTCTTAGGTAAAAAAGGACGAATTCGATTTTTGGCATTTTTACACAATATTTTAAAAGTTAGGACCATTTCCCCTTAAAAATCTTTGTACTACCATATTAGGCACAGTATACATTCTTTGAAAATTGGCGTAGGCAATAAAATTTTTGAAATACTGATAACCTCATTTATTTGTTACTCTTTGATTTTACTATGGAGTCTGAGTCTGATATAAATTTTCCACCAGAATTTTAATGGGAAACTGGTAATATTTCAAGTTTTAGTTACCAAATATCTTTATATTTAAAATTATAATTAGAGACTGTTAAAATGTCATTTTTATACTCATTATCACTAAAGCTACAGTTTTACCATCTATGGTTTTACATGGTTTTACTCTCTGAGAAGGATATTCACCACAGCCACCTTTGGTGGCCGTGGTTCGCACATCCCCGCCATTGTTTCATAAAGCTTTGAAACTGGCTTTGATAGGCGAGGCGGGAGAACTATTTTAATTCTTGTTCTTACTCTCCTCCTCCATTTTCTACTGCTATTCTGTATTCTGGTTCATTTTTGGTTTTTTTCTTTCCGAATTTCTGATAATTTAAATTTCAATTCTTAATTCTTCAAGTTCAATTCACAGTGACAGCAATACATTATTTTTATAATTAGTAAATAATTATGTCTCGAAGGAGTATTACGTAAGTTAAACAATATATTTGTTTTCTTTTATATGTAGTATTTCTATTTCCCAGTTTGGTTGTAAGTACAGATTTCTGTCAAATTTGAATTTTGAACACAGCCTAGGCCTACCAACCAATATGTATATTTTATTATTTGTTTTAAAGTAACCAATAAACCAATAAATTGATCAAGTTTCTTGATTATTCCATCATAATAATTGGCCTAGTCATCTTATCTCACTATAGTAAGATGCAATAGGCCTACTGTATTTTTACTTTCTCCCCCTATACCATAGTATATGGAGAAAGTATTGTTTTCGTCAACATTTTCGAGTTTGAGTTTTGAGTGGATATATTCGTTTTGGGTCCCCCTGGACCCAAAAAAGTGGTTTTCGAAGTGATGTCTGTGTGTGTGTCTGTGTGTCTGGATGTGTACAGAGCTAGAGATAACACCTGTGGTCCGATTTCGATGAAATTTGGTATTTAGGTTCTAATCCATGGTATCTCCAGGCATTTTTTTAATTTTTTTGAAATTTTGATTTTTAATGGGGATTTCCCCATAAAACCCATAAAAAACCGGAAAAATCGAATTTTTTCAAAAATGGACCGAACGATTTTGATAAAAATTTAATATGTTGTAGCCCTCTAAATACTGAACAAAATGGTACAAATCCCATTTCTGTAAAAATTACAGTTTAAAAGTTATTGTAAATTATGTTTTTTCCCATAAAAAACCCATAAAATAACAAAAAATAGGATTTTAGAAAAGAAATCCGGTTTTGATTTAACATAGTATGTTATGGTCCTTACAATTTTGGGAGTTTTTTTCATTTTTTAGAAATTTTAATTTTTAATGGGGATTTTCCCATAAAACCCCATAAAATAATGGAAAATTAGGATTTTCCCAAAAATGGCCCGAACGACTTTGATAAAAATGTAGTATGTTATAGTCCTTTATATTCTGAAAAAAACGGCACAAATCCCATTCCTGTAAAAATTACGGTTCAAAAGTTATAGTAAATTATGTTATTTTCCCCATAAAAATCCCATAAAATAACGGAAAATCGGATTTTCCCAAAAATGGCATGAACAATTATGATAAAAATGTAGTATGTTCCCTAGTCCATCAATGTTAATTAAATGTTTACTTTCCGTAATTAAATGTTCATATTCGTGTAGGTATTTATTGTGTGCGTGTGACATCGATGTCTTAGTTTTTTTAACCCTGACAATGCCGTATTTACGGCGAAACATGTAGGTTGTTAACCTCAAACAACATTTGGACTACTTGACGAGGTATTGTACCATTATTATAGTCATAACTTATTAGCATTTGATGTGAAGTAACACTATATTGTGCACGATTACTAGAAAAATACTGGTATGGACCATAAACATAAGCAAATGACGTTTTTGGCCCGAAAATAAACATAATTTAACATTGCTTAAATGGAACTGCCAAAACATGTTCAATGCTATTAAGGCCTTTTCACACCGGCGTACTGGACGTACTGTACGTTTGGTACGTTTTTTATTCAACAAATCGCTGCCCATGTTATCACATGAGCTCGTTCACACCGTGCGTACAGAACGTAGGCCTACTGTACGTCCAGTACGTACGCGATGGATTTGTGTGAATCGCTCGGAGAGCGATTTTTCTAAAACGTACGTGGCGTACATGGGCTCGCGCATGCGTAGTGTACACTTCAAAACCACGTGCTCAGCCAGTGTTACTTGTCTGACTGCAAACGAACAAGTGTACGTTTTGGAAGTTTCTGTCCGGTGTGAAAGGACCGCGTACAGTATGTACTGTAAGTACTGTACGTACGGTACGTCCAGTATGCCGGTGTGAAAAGGCCTTTAGTATAGGATTCAGGCCAAAAACGTCATTTGTTTATGTTTATGATCCATACCGGTATTTTTCTAGTATTCGTGATATTGTGTAACACATAGGCCTATAGTGTGGAGTAATACCCCTATGTGAAGTAACACTTATTTACGTTTTTTAAGCTTTTTTTAGTCTTAATGACCATACAAAAATCTGTCAGTTAAACGGAAGTCTGTACATACTGTAAATAACTTATTTAGTTTGATTTTCTATTGTAAATATTCTTGACGCAGCCTATCCAGCTTTGCTGGTATCAAGCCAAGGAGGAGGTAATAAGGTAACTATTAATTATTAGACCATTGTGAGTTGATAACAGTAGGCTACAAATGACGAAAGTTTAAATTAACAACAGTGTGGAAACAAATACAAATTGACCACAGATAGACTAGAACAACAGTGTAGATGAATAACAACAATGATAACATTTAACAACAATAACAATCGGTGTGAATAAAGTGTAAAAAATTACAACATTGTAAATAAATTAATAGCAT